GCAGGTCCCTGGGGCCGCACACGCTTTGCTCTCTCCTGGGACCTGGTCCTCGCTCATTGGAGGTCTCGTGAGGTTTGCCTTGTTAGACCTGTGAGATGGCTCCTTTCTCTGCTTGTTGCTGCGTTTTCTCACATACAGCGCACGCTGCTTCCCTCCGAAAGGAGCCGTGCGCGAAGCAGGGAAGCTGTCGTCTTGGCTGGGAAAGGAGCGCTCCTGCACGCCATGCCAGCTGCACGAGTCTCATGCTGCTCCGTAGCCACTGGCAAAGCACCGCAGGCTGTGCCCAAATGGCGGGCGGGCGGGCAAGCAGCTGGCGGTGTCTTGGAGGCTTGTGGCGTGGGAGATGCTGCGCCCTGCGAGGGGCCGGGGCCTAACCCCAGGTGACAGAGGAAGTCCTCCTGGAAACAGTGCGGTGCCAGGAGCGCCCTGCGTGGCAGACTCCCTTGCGCCGGCGCTGCCTGGGGTCTCGGTGTTCCCAGGAGGACTCGCTCTGCGACCCGCACCCGGCTGTGGCTTGAGGAAAATCTTGTTTTTCTATATTTTGCCTTCCCAAAGCAAGAGGTGTGTTACTGGGGGGGGTGTTGTATGTGAGGAAAGGTGATACTCGCTCCGGCAATATAAACCAAGGAGCTCCAAGTACTTGTGCATGGTACAGTGATGGGCACTAGTAAACAGCCCAAGACCACAATGCTTGTGTCTAGAATTAGAATTAAACTCATCAAAGCATAGCTTGAAATTACCGAGCACAGATTTAAAGTCAAATCGGGTTGACGATTTTCATTCAGCAAGACAGGAAGGTCAAACCCAGCAGCAAAATATCTGCCAAGTTTCCACGTTCTTAAGGATTTCTCTGGAACGAAGCTTGCATCAAACAGATCCAGGTGGCTTCTAGTCTGCAAGCGTGTTGCGTCTAACTGCGTTCCAACTGAGTTGTAATGGTTGTGGGTGTGAAATGATGTGCATAGCCATTCTTCTTTTTTGTGAAGAGTTGCATTTGGAACCAAAGCAAAATGGCTCGAGGACGCAAGAGCAATAGCATCAATCAGAGCGACTTCACTAACAGCACCAATCCGCAGGATTTAGAGAGAAGACTTTTTGTCGGCAATTTGCCCACAGACCACATGACCCGGGAAGAAATGGAAGAGATATTTTCAAAATATGGCAAAATCAGGGGTTAGTATTTTATTTTATGCCTTTTAATGGCTGGGAAGTTAGAAACCTAATGTTCATGGTTATCAGAATGTCCTCTGGTCATTTCTTTTCTTAATATAAATAAATAATCCCCAAACAATTAATGACGGCTTTCCTTATCTGCATTTTCTTTGAATGCTAAATTTCTTTGGTAAAACTGAAGCCTAAGGCATTTTAGACTGTCCTGTGATATTCTCTATTTTATCTTTTGTGATTTAAGGTATAATACTATACCATCCAAGTCTGTTCTTTATTTTTCTCTTAATTGGCTCTTGGTCACTGTCCAGCTGAAGAAGCTGGCCTGTTTTATGATCTTTTACAGCTGCATACGGTTTTTCTTTTCCACATTTTGTAAACTCTGGCCTCTGTTTAATGTGTGTGTGTGGGATAGATGTCCTTTCTATTTGCTGGCCCTGGCCTGGTGGGGTTTGTCATGGCCCGGGTGTTGTAGCGCTGTCCCCTACTTGTAACTGGTCTTGCACTGCTGTTAATTTTTCCAGCCCTCAGCATGTTCCATGGCTATGGGTTCGTGCAGTATGACCGTCTAGAAGACGTCCAGGCCGCTCTGGACGGTGAGAAGGGCCGCCTTTTTAAAGGGTATAGATTAGGTAAGGAAATCTGCTACGTGCTCTTCTCCTGACCCCAGCATGCATTCTGGTAGAAACATGGGGCTTTATCTTTAAAGCTTGGTGGAAGGACCATTGTGTGAAACCTGCTTAGCATTAGCTTAAAAAAAAAAAACAACAAACTTTCTAGGTGTTTGTATTTTTGCGAGATCTTTCTTCCAGTCTTGCCTGATATGGCAGTTATAGTGCTTTCTCCTTGTCACCTTGGTGTTTCTTCAAACTGGTTTGGTTGTGTTGGTATTTAATATTTACCAACACAACAATGACCACAATATAAAGAGAACCCAACCCCTCTTACCTGGCATTTCATGGAATTTCTTTATAAAATCCCTGGTAATTCAGTATCTGCCCTCATCTGGAAGTTAGTGGTTGCTGACGTGAAAATGATCACACAAAGCATGTATATAAAGTTTTGGCCTACAGTAAATATGTATATACATGCAAGGTGCTTTAAAGAGAACTGGTTTCACAAAGCTGAAAACAGCTGAGCCAAATCAGCTGGAAGGAAGATATTAAACAGAAGGATGAATAAAATGGAAGCTAATAAGGAGCTGTATGCTAAATGTCCAGAAAACCATAATTGCAAAAGGCTATGTATCTGACTTAGTAAGGGTATAGAAATAGTAATTAAAATAGAAGATGGAGGAAGTGGGTGGTGATGGTTAAAAAAAAAAAAACTTGGAAATTTTGCAAGTTTGATGAGGAAAGCAAAAGGACACAAGGAGAAATCTGTAGCCAACAGAATTAAGAGTAATAAGAATTAAAAAACAAAAAAACAAACAAAAAAACAATGGGGAGGGGGGTGGACTGACAAGAAAAAACAACAACACCACAAAAACTCTAGCAATGACCATTGTTTCAATACCAGATGGAAATGGAACAATTGTCAATGATAATGCATAAAAGCTTTCTCATTGTTCAGTGAATATTTGCTCTGTACTTAAAGCTAAATGATGTATTTTTATCACGATGATAACATATTTTCCATTCTACTATTATGGAGGAGAATGTTAAAAAGCAGTTGCTAAAATTGAATACTTTAATCCTTAGGCCCATATAACCCATGTCTCAGAGGCTTAAGAGCTAGGAGCTCTTTTTCATTAATTCATTATCATCAATCAAAAAGGGCCAGAAAGATAGGAAATTGGCTGAGAGGGTTGGGACTCTTCAGGCTGGAAAAGAGATGATTGGGGGAGATTTTATGTGAAAGGTCTGTAAGATAATGAATGAACTGAAAAGGTGAATAGGGAACTGTTTTCTACTTTCTTATAACGGAAGAGTTAAAGGGCACTTGAAATTAGCAGGCAGCAAGCAAAACAAGGTATGCTTTTATGGAATTAGAAGTAATATAGGAATCTTGTTGCTACGGGGCATTGTGGAAGCCAGTAGTATAACCACGTTCAAAAAGGGATTAGACACATTGATGACAGGTTGGTCCATTGGTGGCTAGTAAATAGGAGTGTCAGGGATTGTAACTTCAGGCTCACAACATTCCCAAATCTGCGAGTGCTGGTGACTGGCAAGGGATGACAGGGTATGAACCACTCTACACATGCCTCGTTTCGTGTACACTTCCTTGCAAGCATCGGCTGCTTGCCCCTGTTGAAGACTGGGCTAGGTGGAACTCGGGTCTGGCTAGCTCGGGGGCCAACAGCCCCTGTCAGGCTAGAGGCTGGAACAGCCTGGATCCAGTCTGACCCAAGCTGCAGGGCTTTGGCTGTGCATCAGCTGGGGTGGGGTGGGGTAGGGGCTCCCTGCACCCCTGCCGAAGCCATGCAGCTGGGAGCTGCACTTGCACCACAGCTCTTCTCTCAGCTCCCCAGCTGCAGTACGAGCACAGCTTCCAGTTGGGGGAGAGCAGTAGCAGTGTGTGGCGCTACCCTCCATCTGGGATCTGTGTCCATGTATCCACTGCTTTCTCCCAGCCCCGCTGCTCCCCAGCGTGTGTGAGTGCAGCTTCCCCCCAGAAGGGAGCTGGATGCTGCTTCTGTGCTGCACCTGCAGGCCCCATGTTGCCAGCCCCTGAGCTAGTGGTATGGCAGTTCTCATTAAATGCTATCAGCATTAAGAAAATAGCATAGTCTTGGAAAATGGAGGAAGCTCCAGAGGTCAGAATAAATGCTGAAAATTGCACTGATATTTAAAAAGGTTAAGGGGGGCGACCTGAGTAATTATAGAATTGCCAGCCTGACATTGATCCAGGCAGAATAATGAAGTGGCTGATAGAGGACTCTATTAATAAATAATCAAAGGAGGTTGAGGTAATTAACACCAGTCAGATGGGTTCAGGAAGAACGGCACTTGTCAAGCTAACTTGGAACCTCACAAAAATCACAAGGTTTGGTTGTAAAGACAAGGGTACTTATGTAACAGCCTCTAGGAATCTGTCAGACTTGAACGTGTCCATGCCTGTTTTATATCTTCGGTGGATTAAAAACTGGCTGATGGGTCTCTCATTGCGACTGTCTGTGGGGATTGTCATTGAGCAGGTCTGTTTTTAATGGGGTCCCATGCACTTCCATTCCCGGGCATACCTTAGTTAATATTTTTGCCATGACATGGTGGACTATAAAATGGTTATGGACACTAGGCAAGAATGCAGTGAACTGGGGAAGGGAATAATGAAGAGGGCGGGTCACCTGGTGCTGATTTGGATTGTTTGGTAATCTAGATGCAAACAGAAATAGGTGTCCGTTTAATCTTATTGTCAGGTCACCTAGGGGTAAAGAATAGAGGCTGTGTTGACAGGGTGAAGGCTGCTCCCAGGGAAGCAGCAACTCAGAAAAGGGTTGGCAGGGGCAGATCAGCAGAGCTAAGCCCAGCCTGATGCCATGACCCAAAGAGCATGTGTTGTCCCTAGATCTGCCAGCAGGAAGGGGCTTCGGTAAGAGCAGGGGAGTGATACTACCTCTGGGCTTGGGTCTCGTGTGGCTGCCACTGCAATCCCATGTCTGTTTTTGGCGCCCATGGTTCAAGAAGTTTTTTGTAATTGGCCAGTGTTTGGGAAGAGCCACCAGAAGGATTAAAGGATTGGGGAACATGTCTGAAATGTGGTAACAGAAAGGGGACTTCAGTCCAGCAGACAAGACGAGGGTATAACAAGACCAAGGCTGGAACTTGAAGCTGGACAAATTGGGGTTGGACATGAGTAAGTTATGGGGCAGTTTACTAAGGACTGTGCTGGAGTCTCCATCACTGGCAATTTTTAAATCAAGATTGGATTATTTCCCTGTAAAAGATCTGCTGTAGTTCAGTGTGATTGCATTAGCCTTGAGGTAGGAATTAATTCAAGGATATCTTGCAACTTGTGCTATTCGAGAGATTGGACTGACTGATAGCAAAAGGTCCATTCTGGCCTTAATCTATGAATATTCTTCAAGATGAAAGATTTTTTTTTTTTCCTGAAAATTGTCTTGTAAATATGAATCTGTAAATGCTGCTAGCACTAAATAAAATGTTGTTGAAAATCCTTCAATTTGCAGAAGAGAAGAATCCTTGTGAAGGGTGCTTCTTCTTTCAGTAGCCTTTTTGTTCAAATTTATGTATAGTTGAATTTCATTCTTGTAACGATGCATGGGATTGATTGTGGCACTATAATCTAGATTTTCATAGTGACATCTTAAAATAAATAAAGAAAACACTAAACGAAAGCAGCAGATAGTGCTTTTCTGAAAGGGGGGCCTGGTAAGGGTACGTTGCACCGGAGTTCTTAACTCCATTTTTGCACTGCACTAGACGTCTGCCACAAACCCACTGACACCCCTTTGTGTCCCTGCTGAATAGATCTGTTTGGAGAGTAAAAGCCCCGTGTATATAATGGTGAATAGAATAATAGAGTTGGAAGGAACCTCACAAGTGGTTTAGCTGAGGGGTATTGAATGTATGGCCTGCAGGTTGGATCTGGCCCATGGGTGTGGGTCCATCCTGTCTGTGGGGCTTCTTGTGGGCTGGATTTTGCTTGTGGGACTCGTTGCCACAGCAGTGTTCGTTCCTGTGGAAATACGCCATTTCAGCACTGCTCTAGAACCCGTGGAACAAATGCCAGTCGCCTCCCCACGCCCATTACCTGCTGGCCGAAATTGGGGTTTTCAGTCGCTCCTGGCAATTCAAATTGGCAGCCAGAAAGAGGCTGGGGGGAGCAAACAGCAGTGGTTTTAACTCCCTGGGTTCAGAAGCCAGTGCTGTAACAGGCGTGACGGCCGCAGAGACCAACACCATCACTGCTCACAGGTCAGCCAGCCCATGGGAAGCTTCACGGTCTGGTTTCGGCCTGCAGGGCTCACTACATTGGACAGCCCTGGCTTCATTCATCCTCTGGCATAAATTCAGGATTTGCTGTCCTGAAGTACAGTAGGAAGCTGTCATGCTTACAGACACCTGCCCATTCCTTCCTCTAGGGAGGCTGTCAGTAACGAACAGTCCCACAATTCTGGTGCCTGCTTGTTTCTTAGGTTACTGTTGTCTGTTGCTCAAGTGTTTGCTTCTATTTGGCGATGAAAGAAAAGACAAAGCCAATTCTTTCCTGGCTTAAAGCAAGAATGAAGATAAAAACCAGCATCTTTCTTCTAATGATAACTGTAAAATTCACTCAGGAAAGGCTGAATTGCAAGAGAATAGAAAGCTCTAAATTAAGTAACTAGATGCTGTGAATTATACTGTTAACAAACCGCTGATACGTTCCAGCTCTTGGGTGATTCTTCCCAGGTTCTCAGCCTGAGCACAAAACTATCCCGAGCCATTTCTATGGAGCAGTTAATATGCTTGTCTCCACTCAAGCAGATAACAGCCTCACTTATCTGCCTCGGACACTTTCATGGTTTTTGCTGAAGACCAATATCACCAGTAGTCTGGGCTGAACTTGTACTCTCGGCGACTACGCTGTGGTGATCTGCTCTTCCCTCTCCTCTGTGCTCACTGAAAGCTTCAAGGGACATTTTGATGCAGTTAATCACAGTAGCGCTTTTCAGATTCCTGCTCTGTTACGTTTGTTTGCATTTCATCGACCTGAGAGTGTTTTGCTTGCATGAGGTTGACTTTGCAGGGTAGCTTTTGCTTCAGGACCCGTGATTCTTCTTCCTGAGTTCTGGTGTTTGAGCAAATATTCTTCTGGAAGGCAAAACAATTTGGTTTTGAGAGACTTGGATTCTTTTCCAGAAGTCAAGAAGCATGGTCCATTGGCAGGGCTTGCTCTGAATTTTTAACTTAAATATACTGGCCAACAGCTTTCCATTTGCAAAGAGCTGTTTGACTCTCTCCTCCTGGAGTCTGTAGGCCCATAGACTGTAGGAGAAAGGTATTCTTATGAGATGAGTAGAGTGGGCATGGGTCTAAACACAATAAAAGCATAGAGTTTTAAATAAGTTGTGCATTGTCTTTAGTGGGAAATGGGAGAAATCTATCACCAGTCATTGCATTGTACCATCTTAATCTAATAAAAAGTGTCAAAGTGACAATGTCTCTTTGCTGAATGGATTTTCTTGCCCCATCTGGTTGCTTGAATTTGTTGCCTTCATTTGAAATGTGCTGATGATCTTTTTTTTGTTCCGTAGCATTGAACAGATGGGTTGATTATTCTTTTCAGATATTAATAAAGCAGCGGAAAGAAGAAATATGAATAAGGCTTCATCAAGGTCCAGCCCAGGACGAAGGTAAAGTACCTGGAAGCAGTGAGTTATACTAGGAAGGTCAAGCTTTAGGGCGTGAGCCCACCTTCCTCTGCTAAATTTCTTTCTTTCTTCCCTCACCACCGTCCCCACAGCCAATGGAGACATTTGAGTGAGCAGTCGGGACATGGCCACTCGTTCCACAGGTGAAGGGCCTTGCTGGTCCTTGTTCCTCCTGCTGTGGCTACAGCTGAGTGCTGCTTTGCAGCATGAGGTTGTATGAGGTTGGTGGGGAAGGATAAACTGCTGTTTGTTCCTGACGGCAAGTGTCAGGGAAGCCAAGGCATCTGTAGAGAGTGCCATGGTGTAGCCTTCTCCATGCTGTGCTGCAGAGTACCAGCACTTGACATCTGATCTCAAAGGCTTCCAGTGCTGCTATGAGACTGGAAATGAGCCTGCAAGCAAAGCACGCTGCAGGGAGCCTACTTCCCTGTGCTGCACCACCCTGCTCGGCATGGACATCTAGTTCTGGATCATGGGGCTGCATCCCCTCTGTACAGTTACACAGTGGATGCTGGGCATCTGCATACTTCACCCACACATCCCTACCCCAGTAGACTCAACACATGCAGCCTCTGCGTGTTCCTGTGTCTGGCCAGTCGCACAGCAGGAAAAGAGTCCTGCACCCAGTCCACGGTACACCATGAAGTGTGAATGGACACCCAAGGTTCCAGTCTGGCGCACAACATATAGCTTCTCTGGTGATACCACCGAGACGATCTGTGCGGAGGGAGGGGGTGGTAATATTATTGCAGAGAATTCAGTCTCACACGTCCATTTTTCTTAGCTACTTTTCAAATTCCCTCCTGTCTGAGGGCAGATAAAGTCCATACCCCTGAACACCCAGCACAGGGCTCCTTGCAGGCAAGGTACTGTGAGTACTTCTGTGAGGGGTCAAGTGTATGTAAAACAAACATCCTCATCTGAGCTGTCCACCTGCTGTGACATCCAGATGTACCGGGGCAGGCTGCCAAAAGGTGGTGGATGCCATGTGCCGTTAGCTAGAGACCTTGGGCAGACACTTCCCTGTGCCTCCTGCTAGGAGTAGAAGACGTGCAATTTACAGCACGACTTGGGGACAGATACGTGGTATCTGTTGCACTTAACCTGCCGAGTGCAAGCAGGCTTGCAGGGGTCAGATGCCCTTGGCATTGGGCCCGGGTGGTGCTGCAGGAGCGCAAGCGATGAGGGCTGGATGCCGTGGGCATTGGGCCCAGGGAGAGCCACACAAGCGCAAGCGTGGGAGTCCAGTTACTGCAGGTATCAGCCCTGGCCCCTGGTGACACTGTGGAGCGCAAGCGTGCGGGCAGCAGGGAAGGGAGCAGATGCTATGGGCCTTGGGCCTGGGCAACATTTGGGGGAGCGCAAGCGTGGGGTGGATGCCACAGGCCTTGAGGCTGAGCGGCGCTGCAGGAGCGCTAGCCAGGACGTGGGGGAGTGGGGGCAGACAGTGCTGCACATGTGTTTGTGCTGCACAGGGTAAGCGGGCCTGGTGGACCCCTGCGAACAATGGATGTGTACAGCCCATATGCTTGTGTGTCTTGTCCAGGTAAGCACGGCTGGAACAAATACGCCACAGCGTACAACGTACTGAGACTGCAGCTATGGCACTTGAATTGTATACTTGCCGCTGGCTCATAGCGAGATGGCATGCTGTGTCTCCCTGGGAGTATACAGTGAAGTCCAGATGGGTGCAATAAGTGCCGTGTTTTCTGCGGATGTCATGTGGGGGAACATCATCTTCATCACGTCCCCTCTGGTTACGCTTGGGTGAACGGGGATGCCTAGGAAGATGACTCAGTGTCCTATGCAGATACCACATCTCTTCCCGTAGGTCCTGGGGAGACCTTGTGTCCCTGGTACAAGTGCACTTTAATCACCAAAAAGACTTCTGCATGCACAGACAAGACTTGATTTTTACAAGATGCACACTGTCTGGGTTGTGAACACAGCATAGGATGTGCTGTGCAGCCCTCAGGTGTATGTGGATGTCTGAGCCATCCTAGCTTGTACACCTGCGCATTACTGATCAGAGAAGAGGGTCCTAGAAGAGCTTGAGTTTGGGAACCAATCAACATATCAGAGCCTGGCTCTAGCTGGTGACTCTTGGAGCTTGCTCTCCCCTTGATTCTTAAGTGAAGCTGTCAGCGGTGCAGAATTCATCTAATAAAGGGAGGTGCCTTCTTCCTTCTGTGGAGGTGCCTTCATGCATCTTCCAGGATCTAGGGTAGTTGGCAAGGGGCACTTAGGAGCCTGGCCAGTATTGAAAGGAAGCTTTATTGAAATCAACTGAGTATTTCTTTCTATCATTTGGAAGTATTCTCCAGATGGTAGCCACATGAGGAAGATACTTTATCTTGAAGCACAGTGCTCCCGTTCCCAAGGTGCTTATACATTTGTGATTCAGAATAGATTGAAAGTCATCTTTGCTGAGCAAAACCAGCTGGGATTTGGAAAAGGGCTTACTTAGTATTTTGGAAAAGAAGGCATGTAATCTTGCACCTCCCTGCCTCTGCTTCTGCCTGAGTCTGGTATGCAGGCTTGATATAATCAAAAGCCTGTTGAGAGAGGTCTTACAGGTACCCGTTCCTGCTGGCAATGCAGAGCTGGATAAGTTAGTCCTGTCCTGATCCAAGGCATCCTGCAGTCCAGTGTCAAGACGCAACAGTGGCTGGCACTGGTCTCTAGTAACTCCACAGAACCAGTCATGAGAAGGAGCCTGCTGTTTCTGTGAACACAACACGCTCTTCTGGGAAGAATTCCATTACCACTGTTCTGCTGACCCTTTTTCTAAGTGGTAGGTTGAACGGCTGGTCCCTCTGACGCTGCAAACTGCTGCATCCTTGGGGATGTGGGGACATGGCACCCTAAGCCTTTTGTAACCATACTCCTCAAAACAAACACTGCGTGTGAAAGTCTCTCGCTATCTTTGAGGCTGTGCAATGATGCCTTTGTCTTTCTGGCTGTTGCTCTCTTGTTCCCCATACGCACTGCACTCTTAGGGGTGGTCCAAAGTGCATTCTCTGGACCTTGCTGGTCTGTGCAAGACATGTGGATAAAGGAGCCTTTTCAGATGCCTTGAGCACCACCCATTTGGACATTTCTAGGTATGGTTATTTTGCTGGGGGATGAATAAACTTTCTCCTCCTCTTAGGCACTTCAGGTAAGAGGTCTAGGCTTGTTGATGTTCATTTGACTTTCCATTAATGGATTTTCCTGGTACCTTCCCCAGGGAGCCATATGTGTATGGAGATGGCCGGGATGGAAGACGTGATCGGTCCCCTCTTCGAGGGAGCCCCCGAAGAGAACCAAGGGATAGCAGGGATGGTAGAAACGGCCGAGATTCCAGGGATGCGCGCGAGATTCGTGGGCGAGACATGCGTGACTCCAGAGATGCCAGAGACCACAGGGACCCCCGGGACATGAGGGACCCTCGCGACTTCCGGGACATGAGGGACCCTCGTGACTTCCGGGACCCCCGAGATGTGAGGGACCCTCGTGACTTCCGGGACCCCCGAGATGTGAGGGACCCTCGCGACTTCCGGGACCCTATGTATGATCGCTACAGGGATGTGCGGGAGCCCCGGGAACCTGTGTACAGGTACCTCGCTGCCAAGCTGTGCTGGCCAAGCTAGTGGAGCATGGGGCTGCCTTTGTGATTGGGGGGGTGGGGAGGTAGTGGATTCTCAAGCTGTTTGGAAGATGTGGTACCTGCTTGGTAATATGGGGGAGGAGAGGCAGGTCCATACTAGGGGTTGGAAGGCTAGTGTGCAGCACACTGGAGAAGTTGGTGCTGCCCTATAGGGTTATGCTTGTGCACGGGAGCCCTCATTTCTGGCTGTGAATGGCTTGCTTGCAGGAGAGAGGAATCGTATGACCGCTACAATCGCGTGGAAGACTACTACCGGAAGAAGGATGACTCTTGCTATGACCGTTACAGAGATGACTTTGACAGACCCCCCTTGAGTTCAGAAGGTCAGTGCCCCAAGGAAAAGCACATCAGCCAATGTGGCATTCTCATGCGCAGGTTGCCCCATTTGGAGGTGGTGGGAGGTTGCATTCAGCCGTGAAACGAACTGAGGGGTACGGCTAACCTGTATCCAACGCAGTAGAACCTCCGGCGTTGCAGGCTGCTGGAGTAGGTGGACTGCGTGTAGCAGCGGCCCGAGTGGGTCGAGGGGCAGTGTTCCTTCCATTTCCGTGGCTTCCTTTCAGAGCGACTGAAACGTGAGGAGCGCCGCAGGGAGGAGCTGTACCGCCAGTATTACGAGGAAATCAAGCGGCGCTTTGAAGCAGAGAGGCCTGTGGACTGTTCTGTCATAGTGGTCAATAAGCAGACAAAGTAAGGAGCTACTTGGCATGATCAGCTGGATGCTGTGTGTCTGGAATAAAAAGGAGAGCAGGTTTTCAGAGCAACTTGCCTTGCAGCTTCTTGAATGGAGAGAGGCTTTGAGTAGTGAGAGTTTTCTTTACTGCTTTGACAGAAAACACTTGCAGTATTGTGACCTTTTAAATTTGACTTGTTTCCCTCCTTTCCCCCTTTCTATACCAGCCTGAAATGTCATTCATACAGAGTTAGCTGCAGTAGTCATTACTTCTGTCTGTTCATTAATTTATTTGTTATTGATTAAGGAATGGGGCTACCACGTATCAAGAGGGTGCCCATTAAGTAGATTAGGAGCTAGTCAACCTGGCGCGCATCTCATAGAGGCTGTTGACAGGGAATCCTCACCAACGGTGGTTATGTCTAGTGATGTTCTGCAAGGATCTGTGTGCAGTATCGCACTATGTAACACATTTAATAATGGCCCTGGACATGGGTTAAAAAAATCACAGCTGAAAAAATCTGTGAATGGCATGAAGACAGGGAGGAGGGCAAGTGATGAGGACAAGGCACTGGTGCAGTTCCCTGGAGGCCCCTTCCAGTACAACGTGTGCAGGTCATGGATCTGGGAATGAAAGGGGTTGGGCACATCTCCAGAGCAGGGTACTTGATCCATGACTTCCCAGGACCTGAGAGAGGGTTGTAATGGAAAGGCAGCTCAGCAGAGGCTCCCTGTGCATCGCCTTGGCCAAAAAGGCAAATGTTGGCTTTGCTTGTGTGGATGGCCAGGAAACAGGGAGGCAGTTTTCCCTCAACACAGCCCTGGTGAGATCAGTGCCAGTGCTGCACCTGTGTGCACCGTGAAAGGATGCTGGAAAATGGCATCTTGGAAGAAAGCCACAAAAGTGTTTTGGGAGCCAGAAAAAATGCTTGATTGAGAGCCTTCAGCTCGGCCCATGCAGCTCATCAGAGAGCCAGGAGTCACTTAATTGCAGTCTGTGTGCACCTTCCCAGGGTAGAGCTCCGAGTGCTGAAAGGTGCAGCAACAGTGAGCATTTGGAAGCTGAAGCCAGACCTGATTAGGGATAAGGCACATCCTTAGGTGGGAGCAATTAACCCTTTGAGTAGTCTCTCAAGGGAAACAGTGGGTTCACCAACCCTGGGCACCTGCCTGGAGGATGCTTACATCAAGTGTAAGCTGTTGGGCTCAGTGCAGGGGGCACACAGTGGAGTGGTGTTACCCGGGATGGCAGTGTGTGTGATCCCATGGTACCTCTTGGTCATAGCAGACACGACTCTTGAGGTCTGAGGGTAATGGGGAATCCTGGGTCCTGAGATGTGGATGGTACCTTCTCTAGGAGTATTGAAACATGGCTCTATTATAACTTGGCTTTGTAGCCATGTCCAGATTACTGTAAATACAAAGAACAGGCCGCATTGACATCAACAGCTGTCAGCAGGCCTCAGATTCCTGTTGGCCAGGTACTGAGTATAGCTGTAGCCATGCCTGTTTTTGTGGAGGCTGTTATTTCTGCTTTGAGTGACCAAAGCTCCACCTGCTTCGGTTGAACTAGTTATCTGAACTTGTTGGAGCTCATGAGGATGCTGGTGTTGGCTAAGCTGAAATTAGTTCTGAATAGATTCCAGCTAAACAAAAACAAACTGGGCTTCACACCAGAACAGCTATTCACACAGGCATTTGTCATTTTAACTAGCCAGTTCAGAACCCTCTTCCGTTCCACTGGATCTGCCTAGCCATGTAGACAGACCGTTAGAGAAATGAAGGCAGAGGTGTGGGCACAGTGTGCCAGGGTGTCTGTGCATGACCTGGGCTGCTTTCCCTCTGTGCAGGGAGTATGCGGAGTCAGTAGGACGGAAGGTGCGGGACCTGGGCATGGTGGTGGACCTGATTTTCCTCAACACTGAGATGTCGCTGTCTCAAGCCCTGGAGGACGTGAGCCGAGGCGGCTCTCCCTTTGCCATTGTCATCACCCAGCAGCACCAAGTTCACCGCTCTTGCACTGTCAACATCATGTTTGGCACACCCCAAGGTACTGGGTCTCGGGGGGACAGGGTGCCATGCAGTCACTGCTGGCATGGGCTATGCTGAAGGGCTCAAAGTGCTGCTGCACTGATTGTTCTGTCAGGCAGAAGTGCACAGAGCAGAACACATGCGGCTGCATGTTGAGGGGAAGGAGAGCAGGGCTCAGCGGCCTACGCAGATTATCTATTATTCTGTGTATGTCCAGCCCTGCCAATTAAAGGCTTGAGGCAGCTTACAGTAGAGAGCACAGTAACTTAGAGAAACAGCATAAATTTTACAAGTCATCAGAGCTTTAAAATCGCCTGTAGAACACCTCGCCATGGTATCCTAGGGTCGGAAGGGACCTCAATAGATCATCGAGTCCGACCCCCTGCATAGGCAGGGAAGAGTGCTGGGGCTAGATGACCCCAGCTAGATGCTTATCCAACCTCCTCTTGAAGACCCCCAGGGTAGGGGAGAGCACCACCTCCCTTGGGAGCCCGTTCCAGACCTTGGCCACTCGAGCTGTGAAGAAGTTCTTCCTAATGTCCAGTCTAAATCTGCTCTCTGCTAGCTTGTGGCCATTATTTCTTGTAACCCCCGGGGGCACCTTGGTGAGTAAAACCTCACCAATTCCCTTCTGTGCCCCCGTGATGAACTTATAGGCAGCCACAAGGTCGCCTCTCAACCTTCTCTTGCGGAGGCTGAAGAGGTCCAGGTGCCCCAGTCTCTCCTCGTAGGGCTTGGCCTGCAAGCCCTTAACCATACAAGTGGCCCTTCTCTGGACCCTCTCCAGGTTATCCACATCCCTCTTGAAGTGCAGCGCCCAGAATTGCACGCAGTACTCCAACTGCGGTCTGACCAGCGCCCGATAGAGGGGAAGTATCACCTCCTTGGCTCTGTTCGTCATGCATGATGGCAGACAAGGGGGCCTGGTTGGGTTGTGCCCTTGGTTGGCGATGTACAAAAGAACCCAGGAAAGAGAATCCTGTTATTGTATTTTGTGGCTGGGACCAGGGCTGGGGCCGTTCAGGAACTGCGGGGCAGCTGAGGCATGGCTCCAGGACTGAGCAGTGGATTCACAAGCTGGGAGGAGCTGCCACCTGTTTGGTCAGGAGTCTGAGAAATGATGCAAGCCCAGGCTGGAGCAGTGATGAGTGTCAGGCAGTTTGATCAGATTAGCTGGCCTGGGCTCGGAGCGGAGCGCCTGGTGTCTTAGCTGCTCCCTTCTTTCTTTGTATAGAACACCGCAATATGCCCCAAGCTGATGCCATGGTGCTGGTGGCAAGGAACTACGAGCGCTACAAGACAGAGTCGCGGGAGAAGGAGCGTGAAGAAATAGCCCGGCAGGCTGCCAAGATGGCGGATGAGGCGATCCTGCAGGAGCGTGAGCGGCCGCCCCCCGTGGAGGAGGGGGCACGAGGGGGGCACCCCCCTGGGATCCAGGTGCTCCTGAACCTGCTGGCAGACAACCGCTACCTGACTGCTGAAGAGACCGACAAGGTCATCAATTACCTGCGAGACCGGAAGGAGAGGCTGCTCCGGGGGAGCTCTGACCCTTTGCAGGGTGAGTTCCCTGGCTGGAGGCAGCAGTGGCTGACCCTTCAGGCTGGGGCAAAGGAACATGGGCCCAGGGGGCTGCTTTGGGGCCATGGTGGGGAGATGTAGATTTGTAACCTGGGCTCTGGCTGCCACCAGTGGGGACTGGGGGGTTCTAACCATCTGGGGAAGGGCCTTGCCCAAGGCCTTGCAGGGACGGGCTGCGATTTGGTCAGGTTGGGGTGTTGTGCCTGGAGGTGGTTCTATCCGTGACCTGCACCAGGGCACGGTCTCCCTCCTGCGGTGGGTAGCAATTGGCTCGCGTGACTTGGGGATTCACCTGTGGGGCTGTTCTCCAGTGCTGTCACAGCTGGGTCTGTGGAGCACTAACCCTCTTCTCTCGCTCTCCAGCTCCTCTCTCAAGACAGTCCCTTGGGGCCCCTTCGGGATCCTCTCTGGCTGGCCAGTCCAGCCACTCCAGCTCCCAAGCCCATCAGAGCACCCCAGCCCTTGCTTCTGCCAGTTCTGCTCCAGCATCCTCTGCGAACCCCCAGCAGGAGCTGCAGGCAAAGATTCTCAGTCTCTTCAATAGTGGGGCGGCAGCAGCAGCCGCAGCAGCAGTGGTCAATAGCAGCTCCGTGGTGCCCCCGGCGGCCTCGGGCGGTCCTCAGAACCCGAACTTAAACCAATCCCAGCAGAGAATGCAGGCCCCGGGCAGCCAGCTCCCTTCGCTCGCCGCCGCTGCCAGGAATGCAGGCCCGCGGCCCGGAGCGCCGCAGCAGGGCCCCGCGCTCTACGGGCAGCACCAGAATCGTCTGCCAGCCCCGAGCAACGTGGCGGCCCAAAGGCCAGTGTCTTCTGGCATCAACTTCGACAACCCCAGCGTGCAGAAAGCCTTGGACACCCTCATCCAGAGTGGTCCTGCGCTCTCCCACCTGGTGAGCCAGACGGTGGCCCAGGGGCGGGCGGGGGCCCCAGCCCAGCAACCCATGGGCTCCTACCAGCGGCACTACTGAAGCTGAGCTGGAGTCCCCCCTTCCTCCCCTCCCCCCTGCATTGCCATACTCCTAGTTGTTTAAAGAGTCTCCTCCTGCCCCTGATGCGGGCCCATGTCCTGGCACATGCATGTCCTCTCTGCTGTGGCAGAGCTCACACCAGCACCACGGCTGCTGAGAGCTGCTGGTGCTGCCTCTGCTCTCCTCTCTTCTCTTCTCTTTGGCTCGGTTGGGTGCATCTCCAGAGCTAAAAATGAGCTTGGAGCTGCTTTGGGTCACTGACTCTTGTTCCAGCTGGAACCTGTTCCAGTGGCAGCGCATCTGCCCCGCCCCAATGCTGGCATGGCGTGGCATGTGCTCCCCACATGCTCCGCCTGGCTTTGGGGTCAGTTTAGGGTATGCGGTTTGGGGTCAGTCTTTGAGGGGCATGGACAAGGGGGAGGGTGCGGTGCGTGGCCTGGGTTTTTGGGCTGCTTTGCTGGTCCCTGATAAGTGCTTGCAGAGGTGGTGATCAAAGGCCAGTTGTGCTCAGGGCTCTGGGTAGTGGCCTTGTTTGGGAGGGGCCAGGTGGGGCACGTGGTATGTGTTTGGTTGGATAAGCAGTGGCCTGTGAGCCACGCAGAAGGCGCAGAGCAGCAGTGGGACTTGGCTGCGCTTATGCAGCGTGGGCCTGTGCCGGACTTGGTCACCAGCTAGAGCAAGGCAGTGCTAGCACAGTGAGCCCAGCACGGGTCCCCTGCCTTGCCCACATCAACAGCCCTGCCACCTTTAGGGCTGGCACTGGGGCAGATAACATCAGAGCTCCGTGCTGAGGCTAGGACAGAGACCCCAAAGGCTCTGCCCACTGCCCTGGACCCACAGCTAGCATCACAAGCAGCCTGTGGCATATAGCCTAGAAGTTTGCTAGACGATCAGCTGGTGGGCAGGTCTGCACTCGGCCCAGCTGTCGTGTTGCTGCTTGTGGGCTCTGGTCCATGGTGGGGGACGGGGCAGTGCTGAGAGGCTCCTTTGGTTTTATAAAGTTTTTTTCTCCCAATGTTCTTGTAGCTCCAGCGGGCCCTCGGGTGGGATTTGGGCAGTGCCCCTGGCCCACGTGCTGCTGGCAGGATGCCTGATGACTCTGGCCGGCTCACTTCCAATGCACGTCCTTCTGTGAAGCCACGAGGCTTCCCGGGGGCTGGGGTGGGGAGCAGAAGGAAACGGTGAGGCAGCGCGGGCCGGCACTGCAGCGGTTGTCCCGGATGGTTTGTGTTGTAGCGTTCTCCTCTGTGCTGTTAACATGAGGACATGACTTTTTAATAAAAAGGCAGGACGAAGGCTGTGTTGTGTTCTTGCTGCTCCCCGGCTGGAGGTCCAGTAGAAGCGTCCGGGGCGAGCTGCCTCGCAGTGCATCACACGGAGCCTGCGTGGGGGCCTGGCCCCAGGGAGCGCCCAGAGCCACCCCTACTGATAGGGGTGGGTGGTTGTGCCCCTCCGGGGGGAACAAACTTAGCTGAGGGTAGGAGCCTCCACCTGGGAGCAAACCCCAGGTAGCAAGTCAAGCCTGTCTACTGCAGTGTTGAAGCCATGGGCTTGTGTCCCCTCAGCAGCAGCTGGGAGCAAGCAGGGCTGCCTGGGGGCCTCCCAGCACCATGCCCTGACCTGTGCTGAAGGGCACTGAGGTGAGGAAGGGCTGCAGGATGAAAGGCCTGACGGCCCACAGCTGCCATTGCTGAGGAGGAAGGGCTTTGTCTGCTGCTGCTAGCCTGCTGCAGCTGGTGTTAGCGCAGGTGCCATTGCTGGCACCAGTGCGCAGCCATTCCCTGTCCCAGCTCAAAGCCGCGGGGCAGCAAGCAGGGGCCTGCCTTGTCTGCTCCTTGCTGCTGTTGTGCTGACCTAGACGGGCCCTCGTCGCCTCCCCTGCTGCCCTCTTCTACGAAAAGAGCGTCTCCTTGGCCAGCAGGGGCCGGGCCGTGCTCCAGCACTGCTGCATGGAGCTGCTTATGGCCTTTGTTCTGCCCCTGCCCAGTAGGAGTGGCAGGGCAGTGCCCAGGCGTTCCAGCCACCGTTGCAGGCTCTGCCCATCCTCTTTTCTAGTGCCAGGAGCACGGCCTGTTCTGCAGCAAGTGAAAATGCACCCAGGCGAATGGGGAAGGGTGTAATAAAATTGTTTATTGCATTTTGTGCAGACAGGAGTCTAGAAAAACAAGTACAATGAGCTGGAAAGCATTAACAGGAGCATTCGACAAGTGGGGAGCATCTCCTCCACTACTACCTGCACAGAGACACAACTATGGCCAGGCGGCTACTGCGGGACTGGCATACGCATGGAAATCAAATGCAAGCCTAACACTCCTCTTTGGGTTTGCAACCGGTTTTATTTACAAGGCTGGAAGGGCATTGCATTGCTCTGCACACAGATTCTCTAAAACACAAAGCGCACCAGGTCACTACAGGTCTATTGAAATATTGCACTCGGAATAAGTCACTTGAATGGACGTAAAACATCTAGCTACGTTGAGTCGAGGGGCCTGGGGGAGCAGACGGGGCAGGAACATTCATAACAAATATATTGCACATGTAGCACAGAAAAGTGTTTGTGAAACCAAAGCCCCCTCGGGCTGCGGCTGCTGGGTTTCAGTCCTGCCAGGCAGCAGAGCGCCGCGGCCCTCCTAGTGCAATGCTTGGCCCCAAGCAGCGTCCAGGCCTCCCTTGCGCTCCAGTGCCTGGCCGCCTTCACGTTGCCTCCATCTGCCGTACAGCACCCGGGAGCGGGTGCGGGACTTGGCATGGAGGCCTGGCAGCACCCGGCTCAGAGCAGACCACAGCCACCTCTGTCCTGAGCACCTCGCTCCCTGCTGCCGCAGCGGGGGCACCGGGCACCGGCCGGCCGCTGCAGTCACAACCCTGCATTCAGGAGGTAGCGTCAGCGAGCCCCAGGGCCAGGTGCTCTGGCCTGACCCGTCCCCTTCACGTGTCTGCACGTGCCAGAGGGGCTCGCAGGTCTGCCACGGGAGGGCACGTCACCAGGGGCAGTGGGAGAGGGCACACTGCGCACGCAGAGGCAGAACGTGCAGGGCAGGGTGGGGGTGTAAACTAGCATGCAGTGCTGTCTGCTGAGACTGGCCCTCTCCAGCCCCGGGGTCGGCAGGGGCTTCCCATGGAGGCCAGCACCCCTGCTTGCCTCAGCCCGGCGGTGCTGAGGCAGCCCTTCCCGTGTGCCCAGAGCTGCAGCCGTGTGCCCGCAGGAAGCCAGGGACCGGCTGGCGGGGGAGCGACCAGGGCGGGGGGGGCGGGGGGGCTGGGGTGGCGTGGGTGGGGAGAGGCTGGATGCTGCCTGAGATGCAGGGCAGGATGGCTCCTGCCTGCTGAGTCGCTGGGTGGGGGGCTGCGGGGAGATGGGGGTGCGGCTGCAGTGCTGGCCTGACCCAGGCCATACGTCCTGGCCCTCTGGCCTCAGCAGGCTTGTGCTGCTCTGCACGCACCACAGCCTGGGGGGCCGTGTTCCCAGGGCATGCACAGAAGGGCGCTGGCAGCCCATCTGCACCCGGACCTGAATTGCTGCTGCGCTGCCAGGCCTGCGTTTGGACAGTGGCTGCCCCGGAGCCAGGGGCTGCAGAGAGCGCGCGAGGCAGTGGGACCGGGCGCTGCTGGAATGGGAGGCTGCAGGACCAAGGCGCCGGCGTGGGGGGTAAGCAGGCAGCTCCCCTGCGCACTGCCCGCCTGGGACCCGGCTGCCAGCCTGGCCTGGGCTTGTGCCTAACGCACGGACAGGGCAGGAGGCACTTGGGCAGCGGCAGGGCAGGTCGTGGGGAGCGCAGCGCAGGGCAGAGGGGGCGGGTGCCGGTTCTGCCCTGGAAAGGGGGGGCAGGGCAGGGCCATGCCTTGCAGAAAAGCTTCACCGCCCCTGCCTCTGCTCACAGCAGGGCCAAGCGAGGCCCGGGGGCAGGGAAATAGGCACCTGCAGAGGGAGGCAAGGAAGCAGCCTGGAGCCTCCACCCCCAGCGGAAGCTGCTCGAGGTGCCCCCAAGAGCCTGGGCCAGCATCCCCAACCCGGGGTCTGGTGGGAGCGGGCCCAGGGCCAGGGTCCCGCTGGGCCCAGCCCTTGAAAGGGGGGGTCTCCTTCGGGGCCTGTCCTCGGGTTGGGGGGAGGACAGACCGCTGACTCAAAAGGCTGGGAGCCGGGAGCCGGGAGCCGGGGTGGGCTGTAGGCAGGCGGGTGTTACTGTCGGGCACGTGGCAGCTGGGCCAGGATCAGCGTGGCCGGGCAAGGGCGCCGGAGCAGGCAGCACGCGGCGTGGAAGCTCAAATCTGCTGTGAAACAAGTTCCGAGAAGTCGGCGACTTCTTCTCCCTGAAAACACTCGAGTGGGACGCGGGTGATCCCCGCGCCAGCCCTTCCCGGGGCCACGGGCGCCTTCCCCACCCGCGCCCGGCTTGTGCCTCCCTGCAGCTCTCGGCATAGATACTCTCTGTATATAGACGTCTTCTGCTTCTATGGACATAAATAGGGTCACTTTAAAAATACGTGGGCTGTCCTATGTACACTATGTACAGCGGGGTGGCAGGGGCAGGGAGCTCGTTGCCCGCGGGGTGCCACTGTTCACGCAGGGGGGCACAAGCTAGCCTGTGCCTAACCCTGGCCCTGCCTCGAGGAGCTGGGGCTCCCCAAGACCCTGAGGCCTGGCGCACGGAGGCTCAGCCAGGGCCCGGGGCAGCTGGCAGACCCCGGGGTAGGGGCCTGGTGGTGCAGGCTGGAGGGGCCAAGCTGAGGCTGGGAACCAGGCCCAGCTGCCCAGGGCAGAGGACGTCCCGGCCCTGACTGGGGCGGCAAGGGCCGGGGCTGAGCAGAAGCAGTGCCATGCAGGGGGCTGGCTGGGGTCCAGGAGGCGCCGGACCCTGCGCGGGCATGGGGCAGACCCTCTCCCTGGGGGTGCCGGCACACAGGGTGGGCACAGCCTGGGCACAGGTGTGTGCACGGGCACCATGTGCACCTGGAGCCGGGCCGAGCTGCCAGCCCTGCCGTGCACAGGCCGTGGAGCGCCCAGTGCCCAGCCCCGAAGCCAGGGAGGCGGCTGTGGGGAGCCAGAGGGGTCTTGGCCCAGCCGCCACTTTCCCCCAGGCCGAGGAACCAGCTGTGGGGAAGCAACGGTGCTCTCTGCCCAGAGCGCTGGGCCCTGCCCGTCCCCGCCAGCCCCTCCAAACTGGTGCACAGCGACGGCCTTGTGACTGGGCCCCGCTCCCTGGCTCAGGCTGCTGCGGGCCAGGGGGTGCTGGCGAGGAGAGCGTGCTGGTGGCCGCGCTGTCCCCCTCGGCGCCGCCTGGGA